GCATAATGGTCAACTCAGAAAACTTGAATGATTCAAACATTGTAAACTACCACAAGCTGCTAGGGTATTGTCCCTATTATACAAAACTTAACTTGATTAACAATTAGAAAAAATAAAATTATTTGTTTCTGCATTATTTTGTAAAATGAAATCAATTCCACCAAAATTTAATATTTGGTTTCTAAAAAGGAAAGAAGCAAAGAGAAGGGAAAGGAAGGAAAAAAGAGAGGGAAAGAGGGACAGAGAAAAAAAGAGAGGAAAGAAAGAAAGAATTAGAATAAATAGAATACAAGATGATAGAGATTAATGTTTTCAACAATTAGAGATTCCAAGGCATTTTCCTTTATAATACCAGAGTTAGAACCCATAGAAAAGAAGGGTAGCAATGACTACATCAATTTTAACTGTTTTTGCCATAACAAAAATAAATTGTCATCAACATACTTAGAAGAGAAATAACACAGAGCTATTGCCGATTAAAATTTTAAAATAAAACTAAGCAATGACAGGATCACATTCTTAAAAGAAAAAAATTTGTATATTTCAAAAAATTTGGAATGATTTTAACAATCCCTGAAAAACCATCTTTGCATCATAATACAATGAGTAATTTAAAAGAAATTCAAGGATTTTTTTGTCGTTTTGTTCTGTTTTGTTTTTCATCTTAGTCCATTTGGGCTGCTATAGCAAAATATCATAGACTAGGCTATTTATTAAAAGTAACAAATCGGTTGCTCAAAGTTTTAGAGGTTAATGTATCAAAAACCAAGGCACTAGCAGATTTGATAACTGGTGAGTCTCTGTCCCTTCTCTGTACCCTTACAGGGCAGTAGAGACACGCAAGCTGTCTCCAGCCTCATTCATAAGGGGACCAATCTCATTTAGGAGGGCTCTTCCCTCAGGCCCTGATCTCCTAGCAAAGGTGTCACCTTGGAATAAAACCACATGGGGGAATTTGTTTCATTCGGAGAAGGAGGACAAAAACCTTCACATCACAGCATTTCCTTAGCTGCCTTTCCTATTTCTTTCTAACATAAACATTCATCCAGTGAACATGCAGATGTGTGAATCTGCTCTTCCTTCAGCATGTTGAGATGATGTGCAGAATATCGATGGTTCCATAGAGCGCCCTTAGTCACAGTCAAATCTCTTTCCTTCATTGACACAGTCATTCAGGGATATTTAATAAATGACCACTCTGTGCACTTCCTTGTATGACGTTATCATGAGCTGTCAGCTAAAACAAAAGAAGCAATAGTATAGTTCTATTATTAATCAAGCAAGATTTATTGAATGTCTTCTATGTGGCTGACTTGTATTAAATGTTCTGAATCTCATGACAAATAAGACTCCCCAGGATGGAGAAACGACATAGTCTGGTGAGAGAGGTAGGTGTGCAAAGGTAAAAAAAAGAAAATTTAAAAAGCATAATATGATGTGGCAAGTGATGGAAGAGAAGCTGCACAGTGCTCTGTGACAGACAAAAGGACAACTAAATCAGCTCACAGAAATCAGGGAGGGCTTCCTGGAGCAAGTAACATCTGTATGCAGGATCCATGGCTAGGAGGAATACAGGAGAACAAAGGCGCTTTTAGGCATAAGAAGTAGTCCCACTCTTCTTTCTCTTGAGGAGTGAAGCATCCTGAAGAAAGTAAACCTGAGGAAGCCCCTGACAATGACCTCCCTGCCCACAGCCAAAAGGAGTTCTTTGTCTCTGGTACTGTTCATCTGCATCTCCCACTCTGGTCCAAAAGTGACCACCATGTGGGTTGGAAGGTGCTTTTCCTCTGAATCACTGCACCACAGCAACCAGGCAGAACCTCAGGCTGAGGCAGAGTGGGGTTTCCCAAGCCCCAGCATAGGGAAAGACTTGTTCAAAACCAAGCTGTGGAGGAGAAAAATGAAGATTGTGCATCTGATGCTGGTGGAGTCAACCTCACCTTTTCCAGATTAGGAACACTGGCAGTATACAGGTCACCAAAGAACTCAGAGGAGTAACACAGCTATTTGGGGTACCCAGGATCAGGATTCCAGGATTAAGGCAGCTGGGTGTTGAGCCTTGATCTGAGATTTTGGAACTCTCAGTTCAATTGTCAGCACTACGTGGTCTTTGGGAAAATCCTTCTTAGGACTTCATTTTACTGAATCATGTATCATTGTGTGATCCTTAGAGATAGGATTCTAAGAATATGCTGAAATAAATCATAACCTAAGGGCTCTCTATAGATGTGGACCATTCACTGGGGGACCATGAATGGGTCTCCCATGGACTATGATGGGACCTATATGGGCAGAAATCATAAACTTGTAACCTCATAGACACTAATATTGCTCAGGGATGGGTGTATACTGCATTATTCATCTACAATTCTCCTTTCCCTTCGGAACTTTGACAATCGCTGCCTGGAGAAGAGTGTTCTTTCTGGTTCTAAAAACTTGGATCAAATCTTGTCACTACTTGAGGCAATGAGATGTGGGCAGAAGTAACAGTGTGTTAGCTTCAACCCAACACCTTAAGACACATGGCTGATTTATGTTAGCCTTTTGTAGCTTCTTCTGTCTGCCTTTGGGGGAGCATCCTGCTCTTAGTTAACTATTGGTTCTTCAGTCTGGGTCCTGGAATGAAGACCTGTGGAGGTGACCTGAACCCATCCCAAAGCCTAGAGGCCAGAACAGTCTAGCCAAGCCCAGCTGAGCCCAACCATGTAATGATATACAGACTGATGGATATACTGCAACCGAATCGCAGCAACCTATGAATCTCAATGCATTTTCTCTGCAAGCTACAAAGACTGAAGGTTGTCTTCCAGCAGCATTCTTGATTTTAGACCATTTAATGAGCCTTCTAGTCACCATTGATTATGGTAGAAGGGGCATTGTGTTAGTTTTCTGTTGTTTCTATAACAAATTACTAAAAGCCTAGTGTCTTAAATAACACAAAGCTATGTTCTGATATTTCTGGAGGTCAGAAGTTTGAAATTGGTCACCCTGGACACAGTCCCCAGGCAGGACTGTGTCCCTTGCAGTTCGCCCCTGCCTTTTTCATCTTCTAAAGATTGCCTGCATTCCTTGGCTCTTGGCTCCCTTCCTCAATATTCAAGGCCAGCAAGACCCTTTTTCTGCCGTCATCTTTCTGATTACCTTCTTCTGCCTCTATCTTCTGGTAAAAAGACACTTATGAGTATATTGGACCTGTCCAGATAATCCAGAATAACCTTCCCATCATCACATCTGGTTCATGAATTCCTCTTTGCCATTTAATGTCACATATTCACAGATTCCAGGAATCAGGAAGTGGCCATGTTTGGGGGTGCTATTATTCTGTCCAAGATAGAAATCATGACTAATCCTATATTCATGGGAAGAACAGCATGGAAGAAGCATTTGTCTCAGGGTTCCTGCTGATCAGACCCCAGCCTATAGAACAGACCAAATGGAAGACTAGATTTGGCAATTGCTTTTAGTACCCCACAGTGTGCACCCTTGGCCTGACTCTTACTTTAGTGCAGCTGTGAGGAAGAGTTAAAATTCACCCTTGGACTGCACTTTCAGGAGTGCAACCTGCAATTTCCCCACTTTTCTTACTGGTATCCTCCTCTGGAGCTTCAGAAGATGCTCTACTCCTATTCAGGCACAATGCTCTTGATCAAATGGGTGGAAGCTGACAAATAAAGGCCCCAGCCTCTGGGAAGCTAGGGGTAGAGGATCAGCTTACATGCTTACCCAAGGGGGTCCTCAGCAACACCATGATCATCAGCTCAGTAGCTCAGGATTGATTGACTTTTGTTCATTTCCTGTCTCCTCCTCCCCTCTCTCACTTCTGCTTCCCAACTAAACTGCCTGATTCCCAGTCCTTATCTGGGATGCTTTACCTTTGCAGGAAACTAAACTAAGCCTCAGAACAGTTGGTGTTGACTGAATAGACATGTCTTAAGGCCAAAGGACATATAGTCCAGCTTGTGTAGGACATCTGGTCCAGCGTGGATGATTCAGCAGGGCTCTCTGGTCTTTCCAGGAATGGTCCAGTTTCAATTTAGGTATCTCCATGGAAGGGGAAGCTACTGTTGTATGAGACAAACCTTTCAACCACAGGAAACTTCTCAATGAAAATATGCTTCCTTGAGACAGGTTCTCATTTCTCCTAGCTTAATTTTTTAAATGTATCCATAATGTCATATATTCTTACTGATAAAAATGCTCTGAGATTTAGAGACCAAAAAGCACAATCTAAAACTTTCATCCTTTATGTTATTACCACATACTACACATTTAACCATACCACACATTCTTGAATGTCCTTAATATTGATGGAATTCTCTTTGCCAATACACTTAAAAGTCCATGACTAAACTTAACATAATGTTTCATGAGCAATGACATGAATTAGTGAAAAATAAAACTAAATTGAAAATTGGGCTATGTCCCTTGTTAGCTATGTCCTTGAGAATGTCCTTTTAACCACCATGTCGCAGTTTCTTCATCTATATTGGGATAAAGGGAGTCACATTAGAATGTTGTCCTGAGGACAAAATCTCTTTACTCATGAACTGCTGGGAAAAAAAAAATACCCAGAAAAATATTCCTTGCTTGAATAAATGATTCAACTCCAGTTCAAGACTGCAACTTAGGAATGGAACATTCTCACTGTGAGCACAGGAACAGACTCATATTGACAATAAATTGCATCTTCACTTTGAAACAACTAAAATATTCCACATTAAAGTAACAAGTGCTGTGGTCAACTCTAGCACTAAATGTCTACTCTGCCTTTAAGTATAATCTGATTATTGCTACTCTGGATCTATAGAATGGGGTAAAAATGTTGTTCCATGTGCTGGCATCTTCACAGTGTCCAAATCCTGATCCTCTCCATGATTTTCCATATAACATTTCCTTTATTAAAAAAAAAAGTTGGGGGGAATCATCTGTCATGATGGGCAAAAGGTGCGACTTAAGCAGTCGAGGGGAGAAATAAAGAATGTCCACGCACTTCTGTCCTTTTCAATGCTTTATTCATTCAAATCACTCAATACAATTTCACTCTATAGTTTCTTAATCAAGAAAATGACAATCCTCAATGCTAGGCACTGAAATGGACATAATTAATTCACAGCAAACAATTCTAGATTGCTTCTAAGCATTGCAAACACACTTAATCATGCCAGGTTCATGGCAGACATTCCCTCTGCATGCTAAGCTCAAATGTCACATCAAAAGTCTCAAGCCTTAAGCTCTAAGTCCAGCAGATGCACACTCACTCAGACCATGTGATCAGATCAGGAACCAAGGCAGGCTTTTCCTGGGGTGGAGCTGAGTCCTTGTCTCACCAGAGTCAAAAGGCTGCTGTAGAGTTTGAGAGCCTTGAGAACAACGCAGAGGATCAGGCTGCTGAGAAGAGTTGGGATGTCAGTCCAGGTCCTCCTCAGGCTCTCAGGCTTATGTGCATCAGTGTCGGCTGGCTAAATGTCTGTTCATTTGCTCCATTATTTATACTAAATTTGGGGGCTTCTGACCACCCTTTCAATCCCCGTTAGCTACTACTTGATTTCTCAGTGACGTCATTCATCCTGAGGTTAAAGCATCTGGTCTGGTGGTCCCCGCCCTGATTTTCTTGCTTCTAGCTCTTATCAGGGCGAGGGCAAAAAAAAACAGAGACTTCACTCTGAGTTTGTCAGGGTGGAGAGAAGTGACTTGTTTGTGCCTGAGGGCCATACTGGAGGGCTCCATAGTGGTACCTGGTGAGACTGCAGGTTTCAAACTGGAGTTTTAAAATGGAGTTGCTTAGGCTATCCTAAGGCCTAAGGCTATCCTTACATCATCTCACAGAAAGGGGCATCTGAGAGTCAGAGAAGCCAAAATACTTATTGTTTCAGTGAACTAGTGACAAAAAGCTATTGATGATCTGAGACAAACAGTCCTGACCAGTGGTAGCCAGTGCAAAGGTCCTAAGATTAATGGTCCTGTTCAGAGTAGATAAAACACTGATGTGTCTTCAGGAAAGTAAGAGGGACAGTAGTGATCTATGAGGTCAGAGAGGTAAGTGGGAGTCAGACTCATGGGACTTTAAGAGATGGGGGAGAGTTCATCATTCATTCTTGTCCGAAATCGTGGGAGGTGTTTGAAGAGGAAAGTAGCATGAGCTGATTTCTGTTTGCTTGTGTGTTTGCTAGTTTGGTTGGCTAGTTTTTAATCATGCAGCTTTGTTAATTGGCTTTGGAGAGCGAGTGTGTCCTGGAGGCACTGGTCAGAAGACAATCACAGCTGTCTATGCAAAAGATGACCATGTCTTGGAATGAAACATCAGTGGTAAAAAAAACAGATTCAGGACATATTTTGAAAGAAATGTAGTTAAGACATGGAGTCAATTTAGATGTAGAATTTAGGGAATGAGAAGACTCAAGGATGAGTCCTATATGTTTGCCCTAAGTAATAGGAAAATGGTACCCTGCATCAAAAGGTACTTTTCACACAAAACTATATTGAGATCAAGAGCTGTTGGTAGAGAATAAAGAGGGAGGGAAGAAATCCAAAGTGTGGGGCTATTACCTGTTGGATGTTTACTAGATATTTGCGTGTGTGATACGTTTATTCATTTACATATAAGTGTCACTTATGTCATTGAAAATGTGAATCAAGATAATTGGTGGGAGAGAATGCTGAAGATATCAGCAAATGTACGGTAGTTAAGGCTGGAAACCAGGGTGACCACACAATGAGCCCATGCTCCCAGTACAGGGGAGGGACTGAGACTGAGCCCAAGTCTCCCCAAGAGGAAGACAATGCCAATAACGTGGGAGGGAACCAAGACAGAGCGGCATCTCGAGTGGGAACAGGAGGAACAAGGAGTAGTGTGTCAATCACGCTGACAGGTCAGTGTCAATCCATGTTGACAGTCCAACCAACAGGAGTGAGAGTCAGCACATCCACCTTCAGCGCATCAATGTCCTTCCAGGAAAAACAAAACAAAGACATTAAGCCCACATCCCAAACTTATTTTACATACCATCATTTCTTTTATTAATGTCAATTACCATTCCCCCCGAATAACTCAAGAGTATAAATTGTTGGTTTAGATTTAAAGACAAGAGGAAGACTGATCACCCTTTAACTCCCATTTCTACCTCCCTCTTCCCTTCCTCTGAAGAGAGGCCCATGAGCTTTGTAAAGAGAGCCAAGATGGCATGCACGTTTGCCAGTGTGTGTGGCCTAGCTGTCTGATTTCGATTAGGCAAGGCCTGGTTTTCTTGGGGATGAGACAAAATCACAGATGAAAATTAAGCACAAGCAAAATCCCAAACCACAGTATTCAGAGGTCTTCTCATCACAAGCCAGGTCTAAACTTCGGCAGGGCTCCCTGAGGGAACCTTCCAACGGGTAGGCAAGACCTGGGCTCTGCACTACCCTCCTTCCCAGAGTCGCATGTTCACTACGACTTAAAGAGAAGTGTCAGGAAAGATTTTTCATTTCCAGATCATTGGCAAATGTTTGCTCAGATCTATTTTGGGGGCATTAGCTCAACACTGCTGTCTTTTTTTCCCCAAAGAATTAGAAGAGAGTTTCAAAAACACATTTATTGCATTCCTCTCTCTTTATCCCCCTATTGCCCTCTGTCTTCTTTCCTCATTTCTCTTTGCCTTTCTTCCTTGACCTGTTTGGATCCAACAGAGATCCTATCTGTTCTGGCATAGAAAAGTCCTGTTGGGTGAGAGTAGAGAGGGATGCTCTGCCACAACCCTGCCCCTGGGCTTTGTCAGCACCATTTACATTGCAAACAGCTATGGGACTGCCTGAGGACCCTGTGCAATAGCCAAGAGGCTGCCACTGAGGTAGACAAGGGGCTTCCTCACTGACTCAGGAGCAGAGCTTTCGTGCAATGCAAAGCTTGTCCTTACTGGGCACACACGGTATGTGAGTCAGGATTTTTGTTGAAGAGCAAAAGGAAGAAGGTTGGATGATATTGAAGATTTGAGCTGCATGTCACCATGCCACTTGTTGTCAAAACATTCTCGTTGAAGCTCCATAGCCACTGAGCACCGCTCTCCCCACTTTACAGTCAGGGACTGTGAGGCAGATGAGGCCAAGGGACTTGCCCAAGACCAATCAGATCTGAGCCATCTGCCTGGGCCATCTTTTTGCTCTAGACCCAAGTTTCCACCTGTTCATATTTTAAGAGGAGTGGGAAGGCAACATGGAAACAATGGCTGACTTCCAAGACGAACTCTAGTTTAGAAAGAGAATGTATTCAAGACAGTGAATTAATATATATACCATTTGGGTCAAAAGAGTCCTCAATCACATCACCATGTGATTTTTCATCTGTTTTGTTTTCTACATGATTCCTATCTACCAGTCACAATACTGGATCTAGGAGACTCCCCATAACAGAGCCATGACATCCTCTTGTGCAAATAGAAAATGTATGCCTTTTTTTTTTCTTTTATGAAAATTTCCCTCAAATATTCTTCTCAGTAACAAAGTATGTTGATGATCATGCAGGCCATAGACACAGACCCAGCAGAAATACTCAGCATTAATTCCCAAATTACATTTTCCAGAGTGAAAAAGTGTTCCACTTTTCCAGTTTTATACCTTAAAATATCATATATGAGGGATTTTAAAAAACTATATCATTGTGAATGGCATAAAAAGAACTTTTCTCATCTTAAAACTTCCTCCCGACCATTCTTTCCTTTTCCTGGGCCAAAGGTCTCCCTAATTTGGCATCACAAAATGAGGAGAACCACTTATTTCTCCCAGAAAAATACAATTTACTCCTGTTTTGAATCACCTTCAAAAAAAACTAGACATTTGGTTCCACAAAGTCGGGTTTCAGCTGAAAAATATGGAGACATTGACATCTTGGTAAACTGCAATAAATATTCAATTCTTTTGGCTGACTTACCTCTCAGCTCCTAGCAGCATCCTCGGTACTGGGCCAGGCCATATTTTAATCTGAGGCAGCTAGCCACTGTGTCCTCCAGGGTCCTCACCCCCAGACAAGGGTGGGGATGACTTGTGCCTACCTGTCCCATCTCATAAAAGATGGGTGTATAATGCTTGGGTCTTCTCTGCATACCCTCTTGGCTTCAGAGATAAAACAAAGGGATCAGATAAGGCCATGCAATGAGTATGTAGTGGCAAGAAGGAAGGAAGGAAGGAAGGAAGAAGAAAGAAAGAAGAAAGGAGGGAGGGAGGGAGCAAGGTAGGTGGGTGGGAATATATTTCAACAGTCTAAATTCCTCATAAATTGTCTGTAACGTAACTATTTACCAAGACATCCATTGTACATACAGCTAGAGAGGAGTGGAAGCCATGGGCTTACCCTTTCAAGAGACCAACTAATCCTTCTTTAATGACCAGTGCAAGGATTTGTTCCATTCCCACCCGTTCTGAGTGCTGAAGCACACTCATGTGCTCCACTGAATTATACCAGATATATCAAATTAATTCTATTAACCAGCTTATCCTTTAAATCTTTAAGCAGGCCCTGATGCATATGCATTTGCTGGTCCAAATGTCTTCAAGCAATTTCAGAGATTGCTCGTTGGGGTTGCAGTTACACTGAAAGGTGAGCCAGTCTCTGACCTATTGCATTCCACAATGTTAAATAATCCACTAAATGGTTGCAGCCCTTTTTCAAAAAGGGGTGCCACATTTTTCTTTTACCCCCCCTCCCCTCCCACTGCCTTGCTGGCTTGGAATTTGCCTTCAAACCAGTTGCAGGACTTGTGACTACAAAAGATACAAAGCAAAAGATGTAAGAGTTAAGGTCTCCACTGAAGACTGAATTTTACTTAAAATTCACCCAAGCCTGCTATTCCTAAATACTGCCACTGGTCCTGCTGCCCCCTGTTCACCCCCCACTCACCTACCTGACACATATGCACTTTCATCTTGTCTTCTAGAAAGCCTTTCTTGCCCACCTATCTCAGCTTTTCTTAGGTGCCCTTTTGTTTTCTTACAGCATCATGTGCTTAGCTCTATCAAAGTTCACCACAGGAATAGTAACAGCTGACATTGGGTCTTCACAATGTGCCAGATACTTTTCTAAGTACTATATAAATATAGCTTGCTTAATCTCTGTACTTATCCTGTGAAACGGGTATTGTTATTTTCCCAGTTTGCTTGTGGGAAAACTGAGACACAGAGCAGTTTGAGAACTTGCTCAAGAACTCAGAGTCAGTAGGTGGTGGAGTCTAGGATGAGATACAGGTCAGATCCAATCACAAGGATGACTGCTGTTGTGTGCTACTTATGTGCACATTCTAAACTGTTTATGGACTTCCTCCCATTTCCTTCTCCTAGAAGCCTTGTGCAGTAGGAATTACATAGTAATCCCATTTTACATTTTCAAATATTTGCTTGCATCCATAGACTGAGAGATCCTGGAACCAGGATTTAAATTCAGGCCCCCCAAAGACCACATCTTTTATCTTTATAAACAATCTCCTAGTTACTTATTTCATTTTCCCTGGGCATCCTTGTAAGCAAATGCAAGATGATTCATCTTTTCCTGTGGACCCCCTACACAGTACGTGGGATATACCACTTTTTCTAAGAGCTTGCTATGCTTATCTGAACGGCATATATTTTGAGGCTTATCATTGTACATTTCCCTCATCAAGGGAAAGACGATTTCAAAGACAGAAGAGCATTTGCCTTAGCTTGGCCTTTGTTTTGAACTGTTCCACCTTTCTGGAAATAGATGAACACACAGAAATCCTCATCTCCTCCATTCCTGTGACAGTGTGTAAGTTGTGTGTCATGGCGCACACTATGCAATCCAGAATTATGCTGGTGTACTATGATGCAGAAAGCTACCTGCACCTGTAGGCTATTCACTGTGTGTTAAGAACAAACTGCACCGAGCTGCCTGAGTGACAAGCTTCAAAACAGAGAACATTGTGGAATTAGAAGGTTGCATTTCTGAGTCTATTTTCTAGATGTCTTACTCTGGGAAAATTACTTCACAGTGTTTTGCTTGCCTTGCAAGGAAAGTGAGAATAGGACTTACCTTATAATATTCCATGGTGATTAAATGAGATGATATTCATAAAGTGCCATGCACTTAGCTCTCAATAAAACATATTTTCATGATCATTCTGTTTCAGCCATCCTGGCTTACCTCTACTCACCTCCTAAACACTTTCTTTGTTACCGTGTACCCAGGTCTACGTAATGAGTTTCTGTAAATGCCAAATATTTTACTAGTGAGAAGCAAGGAATTATTTCAGGCCTGGGGATGTAGGTTAGTGCTCTAGCACTTGCCTCTCATGCATGAGTCCCTGGGTTTAATCTTCAGTGCCCCCACACACGGACAATTTCAATAACAGCCTTTCATTTACTGAATTTTTGCTTTGTGTCAGGCACTCTGATGAGTGGGCTTCAGATAAATTAACATACTTAATCCTCATAATACCCTAATAGATACACATAACTCTTATTATTCCCCACTTTATAGAACAGAAAGCTTAGGATGAGAGAGGCAAAACTTGTTTGCCCAAGATCATGCAGTCACTATGGAGAAAGAATGGGATTCCAACTGAGGTGGTTTGACTCCACAACCTGATCCCATAACCAACTTGGCATGCTAATCTTTCTTCCATGTAATCTTGAGTTGAGTCTCCCGATTTTTAAAAATGGGTGACAAAGAAGAACAATCACTTGGAAGGTCAAATTTGCCCAGCTGCAAGCAACATTTGGGACTCGGCTTGCCAACACGGAAATGTGTTTCTTTGCAAGCTTTTATGAGTTAGGTTGCTGAGTTCCTTCACTGGCTGTCTTCTGTGTGCTCTTTACAAATGTTCATCAGTGAGTTTTTGGGTTCTGGGAAGCAGCTGGATGGCTCACATAACTGTCTCTGCACTGTTCTGGCACAGAAGTCCAATGTTCTTAAACTTGACACAGATAAAATCTCGTGGCTATCGATCAGGCTCGACCCAGTGCTCTCAGGTTCTCCCCCACCACCCTTGACATCATCTTACACGTGATGTTGGTGACCTTCTAAGCTTTCCTTAAAATCTTATTGATCACGTAATTAAAAGGCCCCTGATGTATGTCAGAAGTCTGGTTTGGATGAGGCTCCTGTTGCCTCGTGTGTTTAGCTTCAATGCACAATTCCAGGCAGACGCTCTTCTCAGTCTGCGCAGCCATTATGGTTAAAATGGTGCAGGGTGTGAAAGGCCACTTTCAACATGGTCAGAGCCTCCATTACAGGAAAACCGCCAGCATACGTCTTCTCATATGTTTCTCCCGTTTCCAGGAAAGCACGATTCTGACTTTTAAATAGTTCCACATTCAGAAGACAGTCCAACTGGAACAAGGAACACACATTCCAGAGTGGGCTTGTAACTTCTAAGAGGCATTTGTACTTGCTTTACTTGGTAATATGGCTCAGGGAGGGACCAAAAGGGCTCAGGAGGAAGCCCTTGGAAAGGTGGCAAGGTATACTGTTCTCTGATGGATTCATTATTGTGTTATATGTTGCTAAGATATGGACCACACTTAGGAAACGGTATGGTTAGTTAATCCTTTAATGATCCACCAGGTAGAGGGATGTCAAAGGCTTTCATAAATGAGATATGGTGAAATAGGGGGGAAGCCACCAGAGCCTGAGATTTAGAAGATTTGAATTAGTCTAGCATAATTTTTAGTATAGTCTTAGCTCAGGCTACTAGAACAAAATTATAATAGATTGGGTAGCTTAAATAACAGTTCTGGAGACATGGTAGCCCAAGATCAAGTTGCTGGCAGATTCCACGTCTGCTGAGAGCCCACTTCCTGGCTTGCAGATAGTTACCTTCTTGCTAAAGAGAAAGAGACCTCTGATCTCTTCCTCTTATAAGGAAATCAAGAAAGCCCCACCCCATGACTTCATCTACTCCTGATTGCCTCCCTAAGGCCCTGTCTCCAAATACCCTCACACTGGGATGGAGCTTCAACATACCAACGTTAGAGGGGCACAGTTCAGCCCAAGGCATTTAAACTCTGCCCCCTTCCTGGGGATCAGTGTGACCATCTGTAATTGACAGGCTGGGTAGAAACAAGTTTCTCTATGTAAATCCTGCATGAGAATGTGTACTCCTGCTACCAGAGCAGTTCTCAGCAGAATACAAAGTCTGAAATCACTAAGAATGAGGAACTAAGGAACGACTTTCAGCTCTGTTTTCAAGGAGAATAACCTCATCACTCATTGGCTCAAGAGGGCAGCCTGCATTTCCAGAAGTCTGGTGTTAACTGATCTCAAATCTGAACCCTTGTGTATTATAAGGCCAATTTTCCAATCAATTCCGGCTGAAATTCAGAATGCTTGTTGAGATTTAGGAGCTGGTGGACCGTCTTGAGTTGCAGAATTGCCAGAGCTCATTCCTACTGCCATGTTCTGGACCCAGAGCAAATTCTAGTTATAATAATAATAAAACAAAGTGCTGGCAGAATTGCAGAATAACAGTAAGAGTAATCCAATCTGGATAAAAGGAATGCATTCAAATCCATTTCCAAAGCAGCAACAGTCAGACAGGGTTTAATCCTTGATGTCTTTTTAACTTATAAAAAGTTGTTTCGTTGGGAATTTTGGTATATCTTTGGGGCGGGGAGGGGGTACGCAAAGACAATGTCAAAATTTCCTTCCACTATGGAAAAAAAGTTACAGAACACTTTCTGACATTGGTCCAACCTACTCATAATTGGTTGCATTTTATTGCTGCCATTTAAGGTTACTTCTTGGGAGTCAAGACGCCACAATCTCATGGCAGTGTAGGGTGATTCAGTAGTTCTAAGAGACAGTTACAAATGCCATCATCTTCTTAGTGGTCACCAATGGTTAAACACCTGCTATTCATCTGGAGTAGTGATTGCCTCTGTGCATAGAAGTCTAACTTCTTGGGACACAATGAGGATCTATTATACTTCTGTTTCTCATAAGAAGCTGACACTCTGAGTAGTTAAAGAATCTGTCTAAGGACGTGTAGCTGACATCTGAAGGATTCAAACTTAATTCTGTCTGATTCTGGGATTCTTGCTGACTGTGGAATTCTGCACGGACCTCTACAGGGTACTGTTACCTGTTTTCTGTGACTATAAATTGGACACATTATCTTAATTGCAGCATTTCCCATGAAGCAAGCTCACCCTTTGTTTCACTTAAACAACTTGAAGTAAATGTATATTTTTCTAGCTATAAAAGCAAAATTTTGAAATTTTGACCTTGTTAAAATTTAGGAAAATCCAGAAAGTCACAGAGAAGAAAGTAATAGTTACCTCTCATTTTACAACTATGAAAACCCATGGCTAACATTTCCTGAATTACATAATAGTTAGGTGCTCAAATTCTGGAATTAGAGGAGCTCAATCCTCACCCAGGCAATTCATAGCTGAGTGTATTTGCATAGAAGAGGATTCATCTTTTGTGTAACTTTTCATTTTTTAAATGTTAGTTTATGAAATATTAGAAACATCTGAAATGTTATTTCTTTTCTTCACTTTAAAAACAAACATAATACCCAACACCTCCATAACATTCACTCCACCCCGGATAATCTTCAACACTTCATACATACAAACTCATTAAATCTTCACCAAAAAATCCATGAAGTGGTTACAGATGTTTTCTTATTTTTCCAATCAAGGAACTGAGGCAGAGGTAAAGTAATTTCTAGAATCACACAGCAAGAAAGTCATAGAGTTGCAGATGGAACCCGGAAATTCAGACTCCACAGTCCATGTTCTCAACCATTAATGATACTACTTCTGGTATCATTTAATATTATTGTTTCCTTCAAACTTTTTTATTTTACAAAATTGGAAACATATGGAACACATTGTTTTGTTATCTGCTTTCTTCATTTAACAATATGCCTTTAACATGTTTCCAAGTCATTAAATACTTCTAGGAACACGATTTTTTGATGTCTGCCTGGTATTCAATTGAATGCCTGAAATGTAGTTAATTTAGCCAAATC